ATTGTTTTCACATATTTGTCATGGTATCAAAGCCGGTTAATTTTTTTTTCTCGGATTTTTCAAGCTTCGATCAACTGAGACTCATTTTTTTCTCTTTCTGCTGCTCTCTCTCATTTTTTTACTCTCTTTCGGCTGCTCTCGATCAATAGAGCCGCTATTGTTTCAAACTAAAAAAAAAATGTAGTTGGATTTTGTCGGGAAAATTATTTGGCCGAGAATTTTGGATTGTTCATTCTTTTGAATTGGGGAGGATTAGGATATCTTTTTGAGAGCTGGGAATTGATTTGTAGAGTGGTAAGGTCATAGGATTTTATACTCTTTTGGCTGTGATTTTTGAAGACAATTAATGCTTGCTAGGAGATTTAATTTGTTTGAGAGTTGCAAGAGATCTAAAATTCCTTGCGCAAAAAGTTTTAGCCGAGAAAGATAGATATTGAATACATATTTTTGGGAGATCCTTTTGGGGCCTGAAGCTTGTTGCCTAATAAGATGTTTTCGTGAGGCTGGGGTGAAATAAAATAAAATAAAAAAAAGTTCTCGATCAACTGAGACCTCATGGCTTCTTCCTCGGCTCGTCAGTGTTATCATTGCGGGAAGTCAGGTCATCTTGCGGCATCTTGTTTAGAGGTCATCGGCTATCCCGATTGGTGGGGAACCGGCTCCGCTCACAATGGGGAAACCGCTGCTCATCACAGGGGACGAGCTGGTCGTGGCCAACGCGATGACGGACCGACTGCTACCGGCCACGGTGGTCCAGCCATTGTCAACACTGCCTTCGAGAACGGGGCTGCACTTAGTACCTCTAGATCCATACATGGCGGGCCAACATATGTATTGACGGACTTCGACCGGGCGGCTATTTCTGGGTTGACTGATGCCCAATGGGAGTCTATTGTACACCTCGTCTCTTCCGCTCGCAACAATGGTCCTTTGTCTGGTAAGCGTAGTCCTTATGAGTGGATGTATGATAGAGGTGCTTCACATCATATGACGGGCTACTTAGAATTTTTTTTCTGATATTCGGGATATTCCACCCCAGTCTGTGCAGTTATCTAATGGCACGCTCACCACTGTGTGTAAAGTTGGCACTGTTCATCTCGGTTCTCGTATTGTTTTATATGATGTTTTGTTCGTTGAAAGTCTTCAGTGCAGCTTGATATCGTTATCTCGTTTGTTGGAACAATTTGGTTGTGTTGCTACCTTCACTAGTAAATATTGTGCTATTTAGGACCTCACTTCGAGGGCGGTGATTGGAGCGGGTGAGCAGTTGGGGGAACTCTATTTTTTTCGAGGGGCGATCACTGCCATTGCTTCTTGAGTGTCTTCGGTTATGCTGCACTTGTGGCACCAGCGGATGGGTCATCCTTCTTCTACTGTTCTTGGTCAATTGCCTTTTGTTGAGTCTCTCTCATTAGTCTCGCATAAAACTTGTGATGTTTGTTGTCTGGCGAAGCAATCTCGTGCTAGCTTTCCTCTTAGTCGAAGTGTTAGCAGTTCCATTTTCAGTCTGGTTCATTGTGATGTGTGGGGACCGTATAGAGTTCCTGCCTTTACTGGTGCTCGATATTTTTTTTGACTATTGTTGACGACTATTCTCGCGGTACTTGGATTTTCTTATTGGATGACAAATCTTCAGTGTCTTCCACTTTACTGCAATTTTTTGCTTTTGTAAAAAGGCAATTTGGTGTGTTGGTTAAAACTGTTCGTAGTGACAATGGGACTGAATTTATTCGTATCCGTGATTATTTTCGTCAACATGGGATTGTTCATGAAACTTCTTGTGTCGGAACTCCTCAACAAAATGGACGTGCTGAGCGCAAACATCAGCACGTTCTTAATGTTGCTTGAGCATTACGCTTTCAAGCCCATTTACCGATTGATTTCTGGGGACATTGTGTACTTGCTGCTGGTTATTTGATTAATCGAACGCCTACTCCTCTTTTATCCGGCACGACTCCCTATGAAATTTTGTATAGAGAACCTCCCAACTATGCGCACTTACGTGTTTTTGGCTGTCTGTGTAATGCACAATCAGAACAGGGAAGGTGACAAGTTTGTAAGTTGGAGTCGTCGATGTATTTTTGTTGGCTATCCATCTGGTCAAAAGGGATGGTGTGTCTATGATTTGGACAATCGCACTTTTCTGGTCTCACGTGAGGTGAAATTCTGTGAATCAGAGTTCCCTAATTTGACGTCTCCTGCTCTTGACACTACCATTGCACCTGTGGTTCCATGGTCTGTTGTTTATGACGATGATGACACTGTAGTGGTTCCCACTACGACGCATACCGCTGACACTGGGGGTTCTGAAGTAATTACTAATATGGGGGCAATCCTCCCCACGAGGAAGTGCTGGGCCGTTTTCTTCGTCTCAAGAGGCCCTCTTCCCGTCTTGCCGATTTTGTCTCTCACACTATTTGTTCCTCGTCCCCCACTCAGCCTCCTCAATCACGTCATCGTTTGGTACTCCTTACCCTCCCGAACACTATGTTTCTTGTGATTCCTTTTCACCTGTACATCAGTCATTTCTGGCAGCCATTTCTTCTGCTGTTGAGCCTCGGGCCTTTTTTGAGGCTGTTCGAGATAGTAGCTGGCGTTCGGCTATGCAACTGGAGATTCGAGCATTGGAATCGAATCATACTTGGGATATTGTTTCTCTAACTACTGTAAAACACGAGATTGGTTGCAAGTGGATTTACAAGATTAAATATACCTCTTATGGTTCTGTTGAGCGCTACAAGGCGCGTTTAGTCGTCTTGGGTAACCAACAGGTAGAGGGCATTGACTATCAGGAGACATTTGCACCTGTCGCCAAGATGGTTACTGTACGGACTTTTCTTGCTGTTGCAGCAGCTCGACATTGGGAGGTTGATCAGATGGACGTGCACAATGCAATCTTGCATGGGGATCTGTCTGAGGAGGTCTACATGCATGAAGCTTCCTCCTGGTTTCATTCACCTGATCCTGGTAAGGTGTTTCGATTACGCCGTTCTCTGTATGGTTTGAAGCAAGCTCCTCGGTGTTGGTTTGCGAAGCTTGCTTCTGCTCTACGGCAGTATGGTTTTCAGCAGTTATATTCTGATTACTTACTGCTTGTTTTTCATTGTGACTCATTGAGTTTACATGTTTTGACTTACGTTGATGATCTGATCATTTATGGAAGCGATTTAGTCGCTATTACTGCCTTTAAAGATTATTTAGGTCACTGTTTTCATATGAAAGATTTGGGTTTGTTGAAATATTTTCTGGGTATTAAGGTTGCTAGGAATTCTTCGGGCATTTTCTTGTGCCAGCGGAAGTACACTCTTGACATTGTGACCGAGACCGGTCTACTTGGTGGTAAACCAGCGGACTTTCCCATGGAACAGAATCACCAACTTCCCTTAGCAGACGGTCTTCTCTTTTCTGACCCCGAGCGTTATCGGTGTCTCATTGGGCGATTGATCTATTTGACAGTCACTGGTCCTGACTTGTCTTATACGATTCATACTTTGTCTCAGTTCATGCAGCAACCTCGTCAGGCCCACTTGGATGCTGCTCTTCGGGTAAGTCGTTATTTAAAGGGTACTCCGGGTCAGGGTATTCGCCTTTGTTCAGATTGTGACTTTAGATTTATGGTTGGTGTGACTCTGACTGGGCGACTTGTCCCACTACACGTCATTCTATCTCGGGCTGGTTTGTACAACTTGGTCATTCACCTTTTTCTTGGTGCACCAAGAAACAACACGCTATAGCCTGGTCTTCTGCCGAGGCTGAGTATCGAGTTACGGCGACCCTTACTTGTGAGTTGAAATGGTTGAAGGGTTTAATTCACAGCCTTGGCGTCGCTCATTCTCAGCCCATGCGGATTCATTGTGACAGCCAAGCAGCTCTGCACATTGCTGCTAATCCTGTATTTCATTGTGACAGCCAAGCAGCTCTGCACAGTGATTTTGTGAATATTATATTTTTGGTATAGATATATTTTGGTATCTTAGAGATTTGATGTATATTGTTCTAAAGCTTCCTTTGTATCTTTATATTACGTTCTAGTAAATCTCTGTGGAGCAAGATTTTGGGGAATGAATTGTTTTCACATACTTGTCAAAAATCAACCTTAAAAAAATTATTGAGCTAACTGTAATTGACCAAATATGATTTGACTAAAATTACAGTTTTTCTTTTAAGAATTGTTTCAGTTATTTCCACTCCTTACTACTCACGGTGTGGTGTATTTTTAGACTTGCGACTATTCTAGGATTCTCTTCATCTAGGAAGACTCGATTGTTGCATGTCATTTTCCTTTAACCCCACCACTAATATCTTTCTCAACTCTCCCCGTATGTAAAAATATTGTTAAACAGACAACTAGGTTTTTGTCCTCCTTTTTGCACATGTTTGTGAGT